CAAAACAGTGCCCGACGCGCTGCTCTCGGATTCGACGGCGATATTCCGCGGAGCAGCTGGCGAGAAACATCCCGATGGGGGCGAAGACTCTCCCTCGGATGAGTTCCCATAACCGCGTCGCCGGATGCCATGCGCACTGCCAGGGCGGCATTGCTCCCCCGGACATCTCGATGTTGGACCACCAGAAGAAGGTCAATCTCGACAGCCAGAACATCTATGCGATCGACGCTGGCAACCGATGTCGGGCCCTTCGGTGGAGTGGCAATGTCCAGGGGCTGGCAGAGATGACAGGCGACTGCGCGGGGCGGCGCCGGGGGCTGATATTCAGCAGTACTTTGACCCGGGGTCGAAGCTGTTTGAGCTAGCGAAGCCACTGGTTGACATGCAGGCTGGATACGCTCGGAAAGATCACACCATAATGGAATCTTCCCGACCGCAACACGACGGTGAAAGAGTTTTCCGACCGCATGCGCCGACTGGAAGGATGACCGGGTCAACGGCCGTTTCCACATGCCATGGCCACATGCGACCGCCGATCAACATGCCATGCTTGCTGGTCGGGGGCGCGAGAGGCGTCGGGCAATCTCTGGCGGAACATCTCAAAGGCGACTGCGAGGAAGCACCTGCGCGCGCCTGGCAGGCGTGAAGCACAGGCGACACACATGCCATGATGGAAGCAAACAGGCGCGCATGAAGCTCGGAATGAGGAAGTGCGAGCTCGTCGTCGGGGCCCTGAGAACTGGGGGGCCACCGCGGGAAAACAATCCTCAGCTGGTGCATCTACTTGATCGACGTTGGCCTCTCGGCCCCCATCGAAATCCCTCGAACAGGGTTTAGTCACTAGATACTGAATGGAATCGCATCGACTGACCCCAGTCAGTGGGCACGGAACCAGCAGCGCGCGTTGCGAAAGGCACTGGCGCAATGCATGCCCAAGCCACTGGGCCGCAATGTCGGCTGAAAGCAGCAATCAGCGCATTGCCACACAGCCGCACGGCCAGTCTAAAACAGCCGCGTCGCAATTTGTACCCCTTGGGAGATGTACCATATGCGAGAATGGTTCGAGAGGGCGAAAAAGGGGGTCTGCAACAGGGGGCCTTCAAGGGGGCTGAATGGCCCATGCATGCTCAATGTATCGCTCGTGTCTGTGATCGGGTATGCTTGGCATCCAATGTTGGCGGCCATGGAGGGCCATTCGCTCGTGCCCGAGCGTTGCCCGCGCGGGCAAACGCGCCGTCCATCCATTGGCGTTCATGCGTGCGGGCGTTCTTGCGCATTGCGCGTGGGGCGGCGAAGTGGAGCGCAATTGCGCATTGATTGTGCGATTGGTGTTCGTGTAGGTTCCCAGGCGATGACTGGTCGACCCGCCTGACAAATTTGGAATGGGTCCCGCGATTCTCCCACTATGTGAATTCACATCTTCCTTTTTTTCCTAAAATGCGAATTCACATCTTCCGTTCCCCCAAAAATGTGAATTCACAACCTGGCCCTTTTCATGGGCAGTCCTACACAGAATTCCAAAATGTGGATTCACATCTTCCTTTTATGTGAATTCACATTTTCAATATTTCCGAATATAAATTCACAGGTTGGCTTTTCCCCACAGCGTGAATGCGCAATTGTCCCTGGCCTTCAATATCCCCAACACTGAAGCGCAGTGTTCCGCATGCCAGATTGGCTGGGCAGGTTTTGACACTCACCTCGCGACTTTCGTGTATTTAAGCGTTTTTTTGTTTGCGCCCTCAGCGCACGTTGCCTTCGTCGCCTTTCCCGAGCCCTCCACCCCTTGCTGCGTTTACCCTCATGTCTCGCGGATGGGCGCAGGCGGGGAGCTTCACTTGGTTCCCCCGCCGAACACAACAATCGAGGATGTATCGCCCATGCATGACCCATAAAAGCACCAGTGCCAGGACCCTGCGCCCGACCCCCATTTTCACCCTCCAATGGTTGCACCGCCTCTTGGAGCCGCTCTCCTCGACGCTCCGTCTATGCAACCAAAGCCAGTGACGATTCCCGTGAGGGTCCGAATCCATCAAACCGAACACAATTCCATTTCCTCCAAACATGTCGCAGTGCACGCCTTGCGTGCGGATCATTCATGCAAGGTCTGGGTAGAGACGGTGCCGCGAAGTTCAAACAGGGTGAAGGAGATTTGGAGTTCGTCAACAACTGTCGCCCTGCCACCGCTGCTGTTGCTGGAAAGCCCCGTGAAGTTTTTGTTCCGTGATCTGTTGGCAAAAAGGGAGGTCCGATCGATGCCGTGGACACTCGTGCTTCGTATGTGAAACGTGGAACACGAGGCCATGGACGAGAAACGTTGCAACGCATTGGCCATTGAAGTGCCCAGCAGCGCGTCGACGGCCGCCCCAGCCTTCAGTTTGGACCCACGCGTCTGTTGAAATCGTAAATCACCAAACTAGCTGCGCAAGCGCCAAGACATTCGACGCACGTCTCAACTTGCTCTCGGATTTGAGCACGCCGCTCAACAATCTCCAGGCGCCAGGCCCGCAGCGACGTGGTTATTTGAATGAACATAGCACGTTGGAGAACGTATTTCCCAAGATCCTGGCCAGACTCCTCCAAGTGTACTTATCCTTCCCATTCACTGGGTGGCGGCTTGGTCCAAGACCAGCGCCCACGCATATACGACGATCTTCCACGTGCGCGCAAGGTCGCGTTGAACATGTACTCCTGACATCGGAAACTAACTGGGGACCGAGAGCCCGCGCTGCGCAGCGCAGCAAAACTGACAAACGCTGTAAGCACGTGGCTGGCGTGGCGTTGAATTCCTCTTGATGTTGTCACCGCGCGGCTTTCTGACGCATTGACCTGGGCAGCACATATTCCACGGCGGTTGTAGCGTGGGGGTTGTCACCAAATTATGAAAACGAATCGGCAACGTCAACGCATACGCGCCATTATACTGCAACGCGGGCCCACGTTCTGGGGACATTTGCGATGGGCGGTCTATGAGCATCCTCGGAAGGTGATCGACACAATGCCAACCACGTGATGCTACAGCCGCCGGAGGTCGTCTGCGAGGGGTGGCTGGCCTGTTGCATGCTCCCACGCCACCTGGCAATTCTTGAGCGTATACTCGATGTGTTCAGTATCAAAATGATCAAAAATGGGCGCATGTGCACTATTGCGCTGCCTGCGCTTGAAGAGATCACGCTCAGCTTGGTCCACTACCCAACACATGTGTTGCTTTAGTGACTGGCGCACACGAAATCTGGAGACAACATGACGATGGCTGCAAGGTCGACGGCGGCGGCGCTATTTGAGGAGCAAGCCTTGCAAACGAATGTGCGCAGCGATGTCGCGAGAGCCCCGTTCTGAAATTCAGTCGCCCTCCATTCTTGTAGCCACTGCGGACTTTAACAACGAATACGAGCGGCGCGACGGCGTTTCGAGGCGACGGCGGAACTTAAAGTTTAACGCGCGTGGCGTTGAGACGATCCTTAATGTATCTAAGGCTTTTTGTCGCGTTTGGTTTGACTACAAAACCTTCTGGCCATTACCGGTTAACTCTCAAGGACTTCACGAATTGGGAATGTATATGTTCTTCGCTATACCGTTACCGATTTCAAGCCGGGGCCCTATCACTAGAGCAGGGGATGTTTGTCATACAGAGGCTCAGATGCAAGAAATGATGAGAGGTCTGCGCCAGCAGTGGTGAGAGACAGCGGACCCCTGAGGAGCCCAGGTAAGCGAACAGAAAAGATGACGGCGACGACGGTCCCAGGGATAGCGACGGAAGGGAACCATGTATGCTTCTCTGTGGCGTTGGAACGCCCCGAACAGTTTAACCTCACTTATCCTCTCCCTCCTCGAACTCAATCACATTCCTCCACTCCCTGCTCCTCCTTCGCCGCTTCCTAGTAATATTCCTCCTCCCTGCTCCCCCTACTCCTCCTCCCTTGTTTCCTGGTTCTGCATTCACGAATTAGTCCCCTCCTCATCATATTCCCTCTCCCTCCTCTCAACCTCCTCCTCTTCCTCCTCCTCCTCCTCCTCCTCCTCCTCCTCTCTCCCTCTGCCCCTTCCTCCACAAACACGTTCTCTCCCTCTTCCTCATTTCTCCGTCTTCTTCTTCCTTTGGTTCCCTCTCTCTCTATATAGATGTATCGCTCTCTTTTTCTCTCCCTCTCTCTCTCTCTTTCTTGCGCTCTCTCTCTCTCTCTCTCTCTCTCTCTCCCCCAAATACGATCATCCTCTTATTCCTCATCCCCCCATTCGGTTCTGACACGTGGAACTCGGAGTGTATGTCTGCAGGCACTTGCGGTGTTGGAAGAAATTAGCTGAGGAGAAAATCAGAGAGGAGGAGGTGAATCAGGATAAGGAAAATAATCAATCGATGCTGATTTGGGAAGGAGGCGGCAGGCACCCATGGCAACAGTGCTGCGACGCCCTCTCTTGCTGTGCGCCGCAGCCTCGCGCGCAGCGTCGAGGCGAGGAAGGTCCGAGAGAGAAGCGGGCTACGCGCGCGGTGCCACGCTCTCGCACGAATTGCAGGCGATCGCCAAGCCTGGGCAACACGCAGCAGAGTGGGATCCTCCCTCCACAGAGGTCTCCTGAATAGGGTCGGGGGATCGCGTCGCATCGCCGACGCATCTGCAATGCATCAGCGACGCAGGCGATGCATCGGCGCCGTCGTTGCGGAGAACATCGGGCTCCACGTCGAGCCGCATCGGCGATGCGTCGGCGATGCGCCGCGGTCCTCCGACCCCATCTGCTCGGACCCCATCTAGGAGGCCTATAGACCCCAGGCGGCGGATACAGTCGGGGTTGACTGGAGACGACACGCAAGAGGACACACGACACTTCCAAAGGCCACGTTGCCGCAGGAATGCAGAAGACATGCCCCGCAACACACACACAGGACATAAGGGCACCTTGATCTGGCAAGGTCGACCTGCTGCTGAGCCCCGCCTGCGTGTGGACACCGCCGCCTCGGAGGACCGCCGGGGCGGGGCGCCCCTCCGGCCGCGGACCCCCTCTCAGGCCGCGCCCTGCGGCCCGCGGCCCCCCGGCGGCTCGGAGCCGATGGGCGCGGGGTGGTGCTCGAAGATCACCCGGGAGCCCGTCGGCTCGCTGCGGGCGCCGCC